TCCCTACCAGATTTCGGTTTATTTCACTCTGTTAGTACACAACCATGTTCTTATCCTTGTTCTCTTATATGTGCTTCTATTTGCGTAAAAGTTCATCAGTTTTCCTGGTGTGTTGGCCCACACATATAATCCCAGCAGTTGGGAGGCTGAGGCAGAGGAATCATTGCCAGTTTAAGGCCAATCCAGGACATACAGTGAGTTTAAAGCCAGCCTAAACTGCATAATGAGCCTCTGCTTCAAAAACAGAAACAAAAGCAAAATCATTTCCCAAAGCCAATCAACAGTCCTTTAACCTTGGCAGGAACATTCCAAGACTTCCAGTGGCTTCCTGAAGCTGTAGATGCCACTGAATCCTATACTTCCCAGGTTTTCTCTGTCTACATACATACCTATGAGAAAGTTTGGCTCCTTCCCTGCCATAGGATGGGTATGAGTCACTTGGTCAGACAACAGATGCATCTTGTTACCACAATACTAGTGAAATAAGTCAGACACACAGGCTTAAATGCCACCTGGTTTCATTTATATGAGAATCCCACAGTATAAGTAAGTTAAAAGCAAAATAAAAGACAGGTAATAGGAAATAAGAAGATGGATCTTCTGCCAAAGCGAAGGGGACAGAAAGAAGGGGGAGGGAAGGAGAAGGAGACAGAAAAAGAAATAAGACATGTTATGTGCATGCACCAATTCCACACAAAAGATGTCGGTGTGCTGCAAACATGGACTAATAAAAATAAGAATTAAAAAATAAGTTAATTAAATAAACGAATTAATTGATAATGGTTTCTCACTCAAAGTATCTTGCCTTACTGTATTTGTCCACCTCACTCGATGACTTCAGATGATGCAATAATGACTTGAAGTGTGGGGAATGCTGGGACCACTGTAGTGTCTGCTCCACGAAGGTTACTTGAGGACCAGCTCTGCAGCACTGTGACAGCCCACCTGCCAACTGCACTGGCTGCTGAGGAGTGGGTGAGCCGCAGATGCAGTAGGAAAATGCCAGACAAAGGCGTGACTCCGCTCAGTGAGGATGGAAGGAGATGGCACAAGGTCCTTGTCACACTCTTCCAAATGGCATGCAGGTTAAAATTTATGAGTAATTTATTTTTGGAATTTTCTGCTCAATATTTTTGGACAATAGATAACTGAACCTGGAAACCAAACCACAGATAAGAGGGGTGGCTCTTCTCTAATTGTATTTCTTTCATGCCCGTTTGTGGGCCTTAGCCAGAACCAGGATCATAACAGGACTGAAATCCATGTTCAATTCATGTTGAAATGCAAAGAATTCAAATAGAAAGAAGGACAATTTTTTAAAATTTAATCATTGAACCCATAATCATGATCTTTTAAGTCCATACTGTTTTTGGTGCTGATAAGAGCAACAGTTCATTTCCTCACTGCTGAGACAAAAGACTAATTCACAACTTAATGGAGGAGAGATTTGCCTTGGCTCACAGGTATGGCCCTTTGGCAGGGAGCTCAAAGGCAGAATCAGTGCTGTGGAAGTGCCTGGTGGAGCACAGCTGCTCACATCAGGGAGGCTGGGAAACAGAGAGAGAAAGGAGAGGCTGGGAAGGGCAGGACACCCTTCCAGGCCACACCCCAGCTTCCACCGCCTAACAGCGGGCTTTTTAGCTCTGAGCTCTTCTGTTGATGGGGCAAAAGAGAGTCCATTTTAGAAGTCACTTAAATGACAGGTGAATTCACTCCTCATCCTTTTTCCTCTTAGCTAACCGTAAAACCCACAAAAGAGAACAGATTTGCTAACCTAAGGAGCAAATAGTTACAACAAATTGTAGATAAGCTAAAATTTAACCAAACTAACAAACCCCTGGGAAATGTAAACCTTGTAACATTTTTGTAAAAATTCAGAATGAGGTAATGTGGTTACCATGGTTACCTGTTAAGGTATAAAAGCCCACTCCAGAATTCTCCGGTGGTTGACATTTCCTGAATATGCAACAGATTGTCATCCTGTCAGTAGCAAAAGTCTGGCTTGTTCCCATTCTTGGTCTCTTGTGAGGGTTTACCTTGCTGAATTTTGCTGCAACACTGGATTAATCCATCTGTGACTACAGCGACCCCACGACCCAATCACCTTCCAAAAGTCCAGCTCCTAAGTGCATGAGCATTTTGGATGACATTTCAGATCTAAACCATAATAATTAAATTCCTTTCAAAATTGTTCTAATTTTATTTTTAGCTGACACATAATAACTGCACAGGCTGATGTGGTAAAATACGATATTTCCATACATGTGTATATTGTATAATGATCAAGTAAGAGTAAACAGTATATGTATAACCTTAAACTTTATTGTCCCTCTGTGATGAAATGTCCAGTCTTCCTTTAGCTATTTTGAGGTAGATAGTCGTTTCCCTACCATGCACTAGAACACCAAAAGTCATTCTACATATTAAACTGTAACCTTGTCAACCACTAACACCTCCCAGTTCTCCTTGCCTCGTCCTTTCCAGCTGCTAGTAGACATGATTTCACTCTACTTCTATGAGGCTGACTGCCTTAGATTCTACAGTTGAGTGATCGTGCAGTGTTTGTCTTACTGTGCCTGGCTCATTCCATTTTGATAACATTCTCACACACTTAGCTTTCTGTCATTAAGTCACAAGGTGACACCATGAGTTGGAGAGCATGAGGGGCTGGGTTTGAATGGCAGCTACACCAATCAGCTGTCCCACTGCTGGGACACAACTCCTACCACCCACAGCTGAAAAGAGTCTTACCTTGGCTCACAGCTCACGAGGTGGGGCCATGCTCAGTTCGCCCCAGAGTAGGAGCATCCTGGTGGAAGGCTGTGGAGGAAGACATCTGCTCACCTCCACATAACCAGGAAGCAGAGAGTGAAAGGAGGAGCTGCCCAGGGAGACACACCTTCTAGTGGCCTCCTCTCTCAACCAGGTGTATCAAACTAGGAACTCGTTCAAGGATCCATCCACTGTCGGGTGCAGCACCCTGTGATCCAGTTGCCTTCCAAAGGCCCCATCTTGGATCCCAAGAGACTCCTGAGGGACATTCCAGACCTAACTCATGGGATGCACACTGCCATTTAGTTGCTACTTGTTCTCAAACAAGTTATTTGCCTTTCTGGCTCTCAGTTTTTTTACTGGAAAATTTGAGATCCTCATAGTACCTCACTCACAGAATTTAATGTGATGATATGTATAAAGTGTCCAGAATGGTCCTTCATAACTGATTGACACTTAGTAAACACATGTTCCTGTTCTTCCATTAATATATTCTCAAAATCTGTTCTTATCCTTTCCAATTTACATATAAGGAAATAATGACTTTTTTTAAAAGGAAACAAGTAAAATGCAAGCAGCTCAGTCTTCCTCTGCAAGGTGCACAACCTTGTTTCTTCACACCTGTCTCCTCCTGCTGACACCCGAGTTTCCCTGCTCACCCTTCCCATATTCTTCCGTACGAAGAGCTATCTCTTCTCCCTAGGAGCTGTTATCTTTGCTGGTCCCTCTAACAGCCTTTATCATACTCTGTCATCACAGACTTCCTGCTATCTCATTTCATCTGGGCCCAAGTCTGAGACTTCCTCATCCACACTTACACTGCCAGCTGCACTTCAAGGATCTCTTCCTCCTGGTGGCGAGCACCCGAGGATATGGTGCCTCTCCAGTGGAAGCTGTCCGTCTGGATCAGTTTAGAAAGGCTTGGGAAGCCATTAAGGTCCTGGCAGCATGCCTTCATCCACGTATAAGGGAAGCTTTGCTATGTGATGCAAAGCAGCTCACAGTGGCGAGAACAACAGCAAGCAAGCACCCTAGGTGAGCGTGGACGGGACCCTCTGCAGCTTTCAGGGCACTTTCTCTTTTGCCCTGTTGCTGGAACAAGATGAAGTTACGGTGTCTCAGAGCTGACTCCACTCTCCTCCCCTTGTTCTCTTGGGTGATGAGCCCAATTCTCCAGCAGCCCCCAAATCCTTTGAAGGCACCCCATGTTCCATCCAGCTGGGTGGGCATCAACCTGCATTTCTAAGTTCCTATTCTTCATCCAGTTCACTACTGAGGCATTAGAGGCTATGTCACATCTCTCAGAGTCATCTCTTTTATCCTCAAGAACCATTGCCACACATTTGCTCTCGTAAATCAAAAGCTTTTCCTTTCAATTATTGTGTCTGATGTGGGCTTCAAGAGCTCGTTTTGAAGTTAAAAACAAAACACACACACACACAAAAAAAAATCAAGGCTTTTTTTGGTTTGCTTTCTGTCTGTTTTTAAAAGTCCTGATTCTGTGAGAATTATTTTTTGGATGCTTCTGGGTAAAAATTTGTCAAATACAAAGAAGAGCAGAAGAAAATTATCGAAGTTGACATTTCAATATAGTATATTTGAGATGACTTTCTAGTATAGATGTTTGCATACATGACATCTTTCTGAAAAACTATAAATTTTTGGAAGTCAAAGCTTGGATTTTGTCTCTCTGTATATCCTTTCCAAATACTATTCCTATAGTCTTGCATAAGATATTTATTAAATTGAATGGAAAAAGCAAAATATATATTGTTTTGAAAATCCAAAGGGAAGACACATAGAATAACTTGGGACATAATAAGCACATAGACCCTGCAATGCTCCAACCAATTGATCCAGATTTACTAAGCAATGGTATTATTAAAATTAAAAACATGCTGAAAATTGCATTAGCCTTGTTCAAAAGACCATATTATGAAAAGTATGCTAGTGAGACAGGTGCCACAAATTCAAATGTTCCTTACACATCCCGCTAGAATTCTATGTGAAACCTAAATAAATTATGACTTCCTTGATTATTTATCGCTGTGCAGCCAACTCCAAAGAATATTTGTGTAAAGCCAAGAGATATGCACTGAGTATATTGGAAATGAAATTTGGAAAAATGCTCCCTCTGATTTTGGATGTATAAGATAGTGTCTGTTTAAAATAATTCATCTTTTTATTTCACCATGATTTCTATTGTTGCTTCTGTTGTTTTTCTTCAGGTGACAAAGGAGAAAAGGGTTTGCTCGGGATGCCAGGAGCAAAAGGGAAGGCAGGTATGGCATGCTCACTGTCCTCTTTGGTTTCCCACGTCATTCCACCTGTATAGTTGTTAAAGAACAGAGCTCTTTGCAGTAGCCAGAGCCTTATTTTTCCTAAGCTGGAGGAAAAGGAAGAAGGGAACTTTCCTCTCCATTTGCGGTGACTTTCCAAGCCCAGCAGAGGGAGAGGAGGCACATTCCAATCCCATTCCTGCCCTGCTTGCTGTGGAAAGAGAGCCCAGGACAGCAGGAAGTGGCACATCATTCCTGAGGCCCATAGAAAAGTCCGAAGCAGAGCTTGGGTCAGTCTGCCATGCCTGGTGCTCCTTTAGCATCCCAACCAAGCCCAACAGGCAGGGTACAGGCGGCAAGCTACCCTGAGCCCCAGTGACAGAATGACCTCTCAGTGGCCAGGTACATGTCCCTGTTACCAACTGAGTTGTATTTTCAGTGTCTTACATAAGGAAAGAAACACATTATTCCTGAGGAGGTTCAGTTGTTTCTGTTCATGGACAAGTACAGAGGAATAATGCAAGGCACTGTTCCATGTGCTTCCTATTTAACTACCAATGTGGATAAAATTCAGCCACAGACTTGTTTTTCTTTCAGCTAATAAAACTATTTTTATTTTTCCTGTTATCAAGAAAAAAAGCCAAAACTAGTATTTGCAAAAAGCAGCCATAAGATTTAAGAAGAAAATGATCTGAATTTTATAGCACTTTCCTTGGAATTGCTTCTCTCGAAATAATATCAGTATAAAGTTGAAAATGTAGGTGAGAAAAGAAATATGAATCACAAGTTAAAATTATGATTAATCCACAAATGGGACCCGTGGATTTTAAAATTGTAAGTTGGGTCTGTTTACAGGAAATAAATGTAGCCCTTGAAGCGTGCATGTCTACTTCCCATGGAAAATCAAAATTAGCGTCATGCTGAATCCTGAAGTTTCTGCTATCTTGGGAGAGCTGTGCAAGCTCCTGAATGTGCAGTAGCAGGCGAGAGGCCTGCTGTAGACACATTTTAAGGGAGCTGGAAAAATGTTTTTCTGAGAGGAAGCAGACAAGCTCTGCGCTCGACCGAACACCAGATGCTGCACAATGCCTGTGCGGTGCGTGTCATATTTATTCTTTTTAAAAATCTAGCTTAGCATTGTTTCTCGCTCTGTTCTAACATTTAAGAACATGTCTTCCTGAATTCCTAAACGTCTCATACACTGGAAAGTTTGTTTTAAATGAAAGGTTAAATGCAGAGTCGTTCTCAGGCAGCCCTCACCAGACTCGAAAAAGATAGCGCCACAAATGCCAGAAGACAGCAGGCGCTTTTCCCGCTGCGCTCACGGACCTCAGCCCTGACCCCCCAGTTTCTGTCATTTGCCAGGTACCGTCTGTGATTGCGGAAGATACCGGAAAGTGGTTGGGCAACTGGATATTAGTGTTGCCCGGCTGAAGACTTCTATGAAGTTCGTCAAGAACGGTGAACATTTCTCTTTTCTTCTTTCCTGATACCTTGCGTCTACTGATTCAGTCCCTTTCCACACTATATTTCCTAGATAATACCTTATATTGGGAAAAGACCTGCTGGGATGGTGCCACCAGTTTCAGGGCTACTCAACATGTGAATCATGCACCCAAACGCCAGGATGATCCAAGTCCATTCCACAAATTCGTGCATATGTGCATTGCTAGCAACTGGAAAAGGCTTTCTCTTAAGAGAGGAGAAAAAGTAGGATGTAGCAAACTGTGTATTAGGAATAAAAAGGGATAGCAAGAGTCAAATACAAGCAGCATCTGGGAATATAGAAGTAATAATAATGTAGTTACTTTCTTCAGTAGTTGAGACAATGCATAACTGTTAGCACCAAGACCAGGAGTCTTTATGTAATCATAACATTAGTGCAATGATTACTCTGAGGCATAAATGTTGCCCATAGCTACACATCTATTAAGCCATAGAGCAGAAGCTTTCCTGATGACTCTACCATAGTACAAATCAGTGCAAACCTTATGTACTTCTCTAATTTTAGCAACTTCCTGTATTGATCAATTTTTATCCCTTTCCTATTTCCTTGTAATAGTTAACATTAAATCCCTTAAAGTGGAAAGAGCTTATGTATTCTTTGCTGAGAACAGTGTCACTGAGGAAATTATTACAATTGGCAACTGAGACTGGGTGTGGTGGCACAGGCCTGTAATCCCAGTGCTTGGGAGGCTGAAAGCAGGAGGATCACTGGGAGTCTGATCTGTGTAGTGAGACCCTGTAAACCCTGTACTAAATGGATTTTTTAAAAAGAGCAGAACAATTAATGATTACAAATGATTTCATGGTTTAGTATCTTTTCCTCAGTTTTTAGTTTTGCTGATGTTTGCAGTACACAGTGGTCACATTCCTCCTTAGAAGTTGGTCCATGTGCACAGCACAGCTTCATCCTTTTTGTGTCTCCAGCCTTTCCCTCCTCTTTTCTCCCTTCTTTTCTTGGTCACCTCCCCCTCTGAAAAAGATCCACTTTGTGCTATCTTTTATCTTGCTCTCTATTTACGTTTTGGGCCTCTCACATAAGAGAAGCCATGTGACACTTAAGCATGTGTGTCTGATGCATTTCACTTGGCGTGATCTCAAGGTTTCTAGCCTTTGCACTTCATTTTTCATATTCCATGTATTTATTTCGCACATTATTGGAAGTGCACAGATGCCACCTTGTGTCCATAGTCATCCTGCAACACTAGACACAAGGGAAATGCTTTGTTAGCTCATCACCTTAATAACAAACAGCTCTGGTTGTACCCCATGATAAAAATTTTGTGTCTGACATTACTTGGACCATCAGGAATGAGCCAAACCCTGAAGCTACAGTATAGACCAGTAAGTACTTCTTAACATCATAGCAGTCATGTATTTACTTGTGAATGAAAGTTATGGACTCTATGGTAAGGCAGACAATACCCTATATGTAAATACCTCCGAATGTCAAGGTGTACATCCCATTTTATGAGCTCAGAATGATTCCAAGTCCCTAATTCTGTCCTGAAGCTCAGGTAGTAACTCAGTCTCCCTCTTGTAGCTGGGATGAAGTATGGACAATCTCACTGTGCATGGTCAAATGCCGGAAATTTGATTTCAAGTGAACACACTTTGGCATCATTACAATGTCAGTTTAACAAACATCTGGTGTCCCCTGGAAAGTTCCAGTCACTGGGGTTAAAGACCATCAGAGAGTTCTGTCTCTTCAGCAGCACATGTACTCAAGAGTGTCAATGATGTAGGCACTGTCCTCAAGCTGAGGAGAAAAGGTTCACAAATAAATCACTGGAGTAGAATGCACTGAGCACTATAGAAGAAGCAGAAAGGCCAGTGTAGATGGAGGGAAGAATCCACAGGCACCCCTGACTACTGAGGGGCCTTGAAAGACTTCTCATTAGAGAAGTCATTTCCTCTGAGATCTGAAAGGTAGAAAAGCCACAAGATGACTGTCCAGGGATGCATGTGGGGGAGAGAAGGGGACAAGAATGGCTGAGACATAAGTGAGGTCAGGAAGGGCAGTGTGGGATAGTGTGGTGGCAGTTCCGGTGACCAGTCTTGTCAGTCTAGCTGGACAGCTATGTGAAGAGCTGAGCAGGAAGAGAAGGGAAGACTGACAGAAGACAAACTCTCCACATGAAACTAGAAAGGCTGACAAGAAGTTAAGCCAGTGACTGCCTCTTGCAGGGCTTGGCGAGATAATGCTTGAATGGTGAGCGCAGGAATTTCAATCTGGCAATGATACATCTGGCTTCCCTTTTAAAGAAAACTAATAATGCTCTTCTTTTCTTCCCTGTAGTCATAGCGGGGATTAGGGAAACTGAAGAGAAGTTCTACTACATCGTGCAGGAGGAGAAGAACTACAGGGAGTCTCTGACCCACTGCAGGATTCGGGGCGGAATGCTGGCCATGCCCAAAGATGAAGCTGTCAACACCCTCATCGCCGACTATGTGGCCAAGAGTGGCTTCTTCCGCGTGTTCATTGGGGTGAATGACCTTGAGAAGGAGGGGCAGTATGTGTTCACAGACAGCACCCCACTGCAGAACTACAGCAACTGGCAAGAGGGGGAGCCCAGGGACCCCTACGGGCATGAGGACTGTGTGGAGATGCTCAGCTCAGGGCGATGGAATGACACGGAGTGCCATCTGACTATGTACTTCATCTGCGAGTTTGTCAAGAAGAAAAAGTAACTCCCCTCGTGCCACACACTCGTTATTTCCCTGTGACTAGCACTGCAGTTATCCGTATCCATCTTTGTCTTCTTAATTACCCTAAATTCACTGTGACTCAAGTGAGAAATGCCACTGGGGGTTTGGTATCTCCATAGCATGCTCTGGGTGCCATTCATACCCTATAAATGATGTGTCGCTCACCCAGAGCTCAGCAGGTGCCATGGGTCCTGAGAAAGAGTTTGAATTACTAGTTGGCAGGAGGTGTTTGTCTGTGTCTCCCATGAAATGCTATTCGGGATTTTTAGCACCCCTCCCTATAGCCTCACCCACTGCAGACCCCGAATAGCTGCTTGATGATGATGATAATGGTGATGTTGGTGGTAAGTAGGCTTTCTGGCCCTTGCTCAAATTTGGACACATAGGAGGCCTTCTGTGAGGGAGATGAAGCTCTTTCCTACCTTGGAACACCATGATTTGACCACTCACCCAAGCAGCAAAGGATGGAAAGTTCCCATTGTTTGTAGAGACCTATAAACATTTCAGCCCAGTGTCTCTATAAGAAACTTCAAGCTTAGTGACCTGCTCCAGACCGTGGGAAATCATGACAACTCCTTTGTGCCACTGATCCACAATCTTCACCAAAGTAAACCAGGCAGGTTCCTTGGGCCTGTTCTGGTGACCCGTGCCTTTATCCCAGGGTCCTAGCCATTAAATCTTTGGTTTCAGGGAAACAGGATTCTGGAAGTTAAAATGAAAAACAGGTAGTGTTTGTTTCCAAACAAGATAATTTTTACTGCTCTGGCTAAATTGCCTCCTGCTCTTAACATGACTCCATTTGTCTTTATCAAATTCGTGTAGACTTTCCTCCCTGTCAAACTTGGAGAGTGAAGAAAGGGTGTTGAGAGGCCTTCAGAAAATTCTAGAAACTTCAACTTGCTGCCACCATCAAAGCTCCAATCCCCTCCTTGTTGTCTCTAATACCCATATCGCTGTTGTGGTATCCATCTGTGAGCTTAGGTTACAAAAAACCCACACTGGAGACACACTTTACCCTGCTTTGACAACACAGGACTGTGTCAGGCATGAACTTTGGAACATGCAAAGAACTCACATTTACTAAGTTGGTAAAAATGTTACCGTGAGAGTCAGATTCAACCTCAAAGCAGCTTTCACTTGACGTTCAAGGATAAACAGTTCGGTGCAATTCTAGATAATCCCCTTACAAACTGATGCTTCAGTTATGGTTTGTGACATGTGATTAGGCTGTTTAGAATGCTGGCAAAATGGTTAACGAAATAAAAGAAACAGATCAACAACATATGCTCCCCCTACACCATCTGTCCATGGTTTCACCCATGACTGACTGGTTATGAGATAGGATTTAGTGAGTTCTGTGGGTTGGGCAGGAGTCACAATTTCAGATCCTACCAGAGCCAGAATGTGACGTAAATAAATGAAGTGAAATGGGCTGGAAGCCAGGCGCTCTGAACATAGCTTGGGCTTCTGTGGTTGCCCCTGCTCCTCGGTAGCTGCTGATCCTGCCGTGGAGGAGCCAATGCTGCTTCATGGCCAGACACGTCAAGAGAAGTCACAAAGCCTGGATTTTGTATCTTCATATTTTTAAATGTTGACAGCTAATCATTTTTAACACAGATTTTAATTCATACAAAACTACAATAGCCAAAATTATAATCATTCCATTTCTCTCCTCCGGGGAAAAGCCCTGATGTTTCTAAACGAGGAGAATGTCATAGTATATGATGATGTCAATATCAAGAGATTTTCTATTCCCTTCTTACTCAGTTTAGGTGAACAAAAGACTCTTGTCAAATTCTTAATATTTTTCAGGTTATTAAACTAGTTAATCTCTTTTGAGAATGAGGCAAAGAATGAGGCAAAGAATCTCTTTTTAATGGCAGGGCAGCCAAGTAAAATTACAAAGAAAGACACCACATTAAAGCCAGTGTCTTTGGATAGAATGCCAGCCAAGACCACAAGAATTAGGAAGGGCTACAGAAAGGTGGAGGAAAGGCAAGGGGTAAGATAAGCAGGAAGGAACAGGCAGCAGCCCTGCCCAGCAGCGCCTCCCATCAGGAGCCAGGGGCTGACTTGTTCTAGGCCCCCAGGGGGTGAGTTGTGCCGCAGATATTGCCAGTGCTACTATTTCTCTGATGCACATGATAGCAGAGCAGTGACTGCACGGCTCATCTTCACAGCAGATGCATCCGGGGAATGATGACAGAGCCTCAAAATCTAGGATTCAGCCCACAAACTTGCCTGGAAGCCACTGCAAAGTCCTCACGCATTGAATTAGAATTATTACAAAAACTTATATTGATGGAACACTTCGTGCTTTTGTGAAATGTCTTTGTGTATCGTTGCTTGTTTGATTCTGATAAAGTCCTGAAGTAAAAGGGCAAACATTGTACTGCTAATTCCCCAGTGAGAACACTAAGACCCACAGAAGCAAAGTCACATAACAAAGCCAGCTCCCCTGAGAGTCTTGAAACTGCCACCCCATGGTCTTGGCTCCAGTCTCTGCCCACTGCTCTGGGATGGAGGGGAAGTGCATCCGCAGAGCCCCAGGTGGCACGGGCTCAGGTCAGCTGTCCCCATTGTCTTCCCAAGTGGTGGGTGAGCCTCACAGAGACACGGGGATGCAGAAACTCCCATGCTCACATTCACCAACTTATTTTTGCTTCACAGATATCTACGTGAGGCGGCAGCGCTGCGGAGGTGCCGAGTGCAGCCCCAGTGCAATTTTGCAGGCAACTCTAGAAAGAGGGCCCGGATCAGACATGTGAAAGTCAAGATTTGACCAAAATGAAATTGATTGTGTCATTATTTCCCCATTCAAGATTTCACTAGAGAAATGACTTAAGTAGTTAGCATTTAAAATCAGTTTTGTTCTCTAAGATTTGAATTTATGCTAAAATTTGCAGGGACATTTCTGGATACCTCACAAGCACTACATAAAGCAATAAAAGAAGACAGTAAAAAAAACCTTATTCATACCCTCTCAACCCCATCTTTTCAAAGCAATGCATTTATTAATCAGACCAGAAGACGTGCCTCCCTTCCAGGTATACTCTCCAAATATAGGAGAAAGGCGCAAGCCTGGGTGGGGGAAACGGGAGTGAACACCCATTGCACTTTGATCGCCTCTCTCATCAAAACTGCTGGAACTGGGCCTGGCGAGATAGCTCAGCAGTGTAGAGAGCCTGCGTAGGCAAGCTTAGGCAGGAGCAGGGTACTGCAGTTAGATTGCAGGCACTACATGGCATGCCAGCCCCACCCTCAGGGCAGGCTGAGCCTACCAAAACAACCGCTGGAGCTTTTTAGATGTTTTATCCTGATTAGATCTGTGTCACCCATACATGGTTACTGGGATTATCTTTAACAAATTAATTTTCAGCTCTCCATGACACGTATTTTTGAAGCTCACAGTGTCTGTGAAGTACGAAAGGTAAACTAAACAGCATCACTCATGGCATCATCAATAAAGCAGACCTGAGTTTTGCAGCTGCTACCACTGACAAGAACATGATAGTGGCCTCCCTCTAGGGGTGACACAGCTTAGCAGCATGGCTTAGAAACTCCAAAGGCAGGTCTGGTGCGATGACTTCCTAGAGGCCAGTGTGGAGTGGGCCATTTACCATCCATGTAAGGGCAATGTGTTCCCTGCTCTACTCCTTGTTTTCCTGGTCTATTCGGGCCTCCCCAAAGAATACTGTAACAAAGGAGGTCATAGAATGAGTCATTCAACACAATACGTGCTACATCAGTGCAGTAAGACACACATTAAGGGCAGCTATGTGTGCTGCAAGACACCTGCTGAAAAGAAAAAAAGAATCTGTATTTTAAGATATATAAAAGTTACCCAAGTGAGTTTGTATCTCACAAAAATACTATACAGTACATACACTACAAATAGCAAATACACGTGGATATGCCAAACACATGAATATACAGGCAAGGTAGCCTTCTTACCCTTACTTAGAGAGGAAATTTTTATCTTCAGGGAGGCAAAGAAAATTGCCAGAAGTTGTACTGCTTATTAGACTTGGAGCTAAGGTGTACAAGTGAACATAATTTTAATCTCATGTACAATTTTTGTCGTGTGCTGTTTGTCTGAACTTCTGTTTATCGTATGAAAGTTAACTATTTTTTACACTGAAAAATAAAACCATTGTCTCGTATTACCTTGAGGTTGCAAGGCATTTATTTATTTATTTGTTTGTTTATGCATTTATACTAGGGATCAAACTCAGGACCTTGTGTTTACCACGCAGGCACTTAAGCCACTGAGCTATCTCTCCAGCCTAAGCCTTTCATAAAAATCCTTTAAACCTTGAAAGGAAGATAATTTGTCATGTCCTTTTAAATGTGAATTGAAGGAAAGGAACACTTTGCCCCGATATTGTACACATGAATCTTTTTATAAATATAGGACTTTATTTTACTGTTCTTCTGGCACTCATGCAACCTATATTTGAAATTTTTTTGGTAATCTGATAAGTCTATTAAACTTTTTTCCTTATAAAAAAGAAAGTACATTTCTCTCTAGTTTACACCTACTGTCCTCGTCCATCGTTTGCCCTTTACACTTTAGAGACCTGGGGCATCCCCAGAATTCTCTTAAAGAAATGACAAACCAGAATAGGAGCAAGTGTCCTCACCTGTGACAGATCTACAGGTAAACACCTGCACAGTCCTTAAAGCCCAGATGGTATGCTCTGCACCCAGCAAGTCCCATGACACTGGGTGGCACCAAGGGCACAGATCTGTTCTGTGAATAGAATTAAACTCAAATGGAGCATCTCAATCATAAACAGTGTGTTTATCTAAAAGAGACCAGGATGGACAGAGTTCAGCCCCAAGGGCAGGAGGCTGTGAAGAGGTGGCTGACCAGTAAGATCCCCTCAGAGGGCTCCAGACAGACATCCAGAACCAGAGGAAGAATGAAGGCAAACTCTGAGTTCATCAAGCCCACATGGAGAACAACTAGAAAGAGTATGGACACAGTAAATAGTAGAATGTCTAACATGCTTTAGGCAGTACACTGGAAAGAACTGGAAACACAGTGGAGACAATGCAGCACTCTTCTAGCCTCTGGGACAGGGCTTACTTCATTTCTTTGTTTATTTTATTTATCTATTTATTTATTTATTTATTTGCAGTACCGAGGATTGAACTCAGGACCTTGTGCTTGCCAGACAAGCACTTATTCTACTGAGCTATCTCCCCAGCAAGGGCTTACTTTAGATTCATCATACCTTAAGCCTACAACACCGAGCTTCAAGATTCAGTGCATGATCAGGATTATGTAATTGCATCCTATTTTTGTATCTGTGTTATGTTCTGACATAACAGTTCATCAAAGATGGACTAAAATAAATTGGGCAAAGGAAAGCTTTGTGGGAGGACTTGCATCACCCTGAAGAGCAGCACGGATGCATCTGCCCAATCACACTAACACCCTCTTTTGATTTACTCGTTTTGATGTGAACATGAAGTTCCTGCAGCACGGCTGTGTGTGCACCTACCCACGCTAGTTCCTCACAAGATAGAATATGTTCCCGTGGTTGTGCATGAATGAACACTGACAAGCGACAAAGGCTTGCCTTAGTTTTCCCTGGTGACTTACACCTTTCATTCAGCAAAACTCAGAATTTCCCTAGATCATCACCATCATAATGCCATAAGCAGGGTCCCCTAAGCCTGATGGGGGGAAGGTGACAGTCGGTCACATATTTTACAATGTGTTTATTAAACAATCAACCTGCAACCCTGAACTAATCTCCATATTAACAACTAAAGATGGGAGTCAATGCGATGTATATGTAGCCAGATGATTTTAAAGCTATGGAACTCTTGAGTATGTGTGGATGCCTTAAGCAGATGAATCTATCAACAGTTAACCCTTGGTCTTTGTAAACTTGGCTGGTAAACCCTTTCAAGAGAAGGGGTGGCATGAGGGACTGACTGTAGTCTGCTCCTCAATACATTGATAGAATGTTAACTCAGGACAGGGTACTTGTGACCTTAGTCCCAGTGTGTCCAAAGCAGGAAGTGACAGAAGCATTTTATATAGCTTGAGAAATGAAGTAAGGGCAGACACTGCTGCAAAGCACATTGAATTTTGATCAGACAAGGTCCGGGTTGAGTTTTCACTGAGAGTATAGAGGGCACCCTACAAAACCCCAATAGGCCTCTCTCTTAAATCAAGACTTCACGTGATGTTCTTCTGAGTCAACTCCAAGAAGGCGGCTCTAAAGACAGCTTCCCAGGAGGAGGGAGGGGATAGGGCAGACACTTTCTGGAAAGGGCTATGTGTGTTATGTATCTTTTCCAAACTCCTTTTTGCATGATCTCATCTTTGCTCACTGTGGTGCTTTTCGCCGATCAAACTCTAGTACTGACAGAGGGTTCTTCTCTACTGGCCCTTATTTGTAACCCTGTCCTCCCATCCACAGGATAAGAAAATTGTCCTTTTCCTGAAAGATACTAAGACTTAAAGAAAAGTTTCAATATAGTCAGTAAACATGTTACAATTTTGGTCTCTATGCTTGAGAAATAGGAAATAAGTCTATGCATCCAAACAATATATTCAGGACCCTGTAATGAAATATGAAACAGTGATAGATTCTGAATGAGGTTGAGGAGTAATTCCTCTGAGTTTGCTAACTCTAAACCTGAAAAAGAGTGAGGCAAGGAGTAAATATAAGTTTGTCTCTGTAACTTCAAAAGTATAAAGAGAAAATAGATGAGTGCTTCTCTCCTCAGGTAATGCATCTCATCAGGGTTAGGGAGGGCAGGCTGCCACTATTGCTCTTTGGACAATGGCTCAATATGCACTAATGTTCCAGCTGTCGTAGTTCGTGCCCTCCTGAATTGCCGTGATGATGTATGCAGGGTCAAGTTATATGTGAAGCAAAGGAAGCACCTCTCTGACCACCACAGATGAGCTCTCAAATCCAAATGGTTGGATATTACTTGGCCCCAGAATCCTGCCACTCAAAGCTTCTGGGAGTTTTGTGCGAATTGTCTAATGCCTTGCACACCTAAATAACAGGCATTCTTGTGGTTCTGAAGCATCCTTGCACTCAACACAGTATTTCTGGACTATTCCTTTCAGAAATCACTACTCATATTGTTGGAGAATGTTCTCACATACCTGTTGGGATTAGAAACCCTTAGTTCCATTTTGCTCTTGACATGAATTCGTCCTTTGATACCCAGTGACCAGGAGTAAACTGTGTCTGACATAATCACCAGAAATCAACTGAGTTTTCTCTAGGCTTATGGTCAGCAGCTCCTTTTTCTGAGGGATCTTTGGCTAATACTTTTAACTCATGAACCAGCTTCCCATCAGGCTCTTTGAAGTTCACTTCACTTCACCACACTCGGTAGGCCAATACTTTAACTGGGACGCCAGTAGAAAAGCAGGTGTTTGTAGTTTCTTTTTTTTTT